GCTGAAGAAATTATTATGGACTAACCCTTTACTTTCTTTTTCTGTTGATTCATCTTTAGTGTAAAGAAATGAAACTGATTTTTGAACGTTAATCTTGTAACCAGCTACCTTGCTGAATTCTTCAATCGGCTCTAGTAGTTTTTGTGTGGACCTTTGAGGGTTTTCTACATATAGTAACATGTCGGCATATAATGACACTTTTACCTCATTTTTTGCAATTTGGATCCTTTTTATTTCTCTCTCTTGCCTGATTGCTGTGGCTAGGACTTCCAAGACTATGTTGAATAGGAGTGGTGATAGTGGGCAGCCTTGCCTTGTCCCAGATTTTAGTGGGAATCTTTTGAGTTTTTCACCGTTGAGTACTATGCTGGCTGTAGTTTTGTCATATATAGCTTTTATTATGTTGAGATATGTTCCCTCTATACCCACTTTGGTGAGAGTTCTTATCATAAATGGGCATTGAATTTTATCAAATGCTTTTTCTGTATCGATTGAGATGATCATGTGGGTTTTGTCCTTTCTCTTGTTGATGTGATGTATTACATTGACTGATTTGCGTATGTTGAACCACCCTTGTGTCCCTGGGATGAACCCCAATTGGTCATGATGCATAATCTTTTTTATGTGTCGTTGGATTCTATTTGCTAATATTTTGGTGAGGATTTTGGCGTCTATGTTCATCAGTGATATTGGCCTATAATTCTCTTTTTTTGGTAGTGTCTTTGCCTGGTTTTGGTATCAGGGTGATGGTGGCTTCATAGAATGAGTTTGGGAGTATTCCCTCCTTTTCAATCGTCTGGAGGAGTTTGAGAAGGACTGGTATGAGTTCTTCTTTGTATGTTTGATAGAATTCCCCAGTGAAACCGTCCAGTCCTGGACTTTTATTTGTAGGGTAGGTTTTTTTTTATTTGCTATTTCGATTTCATTTCTAGTGATTGGTTTGTTCAAGTGGTCAGTTTCTTCTTGATTCAGTTTTGGTGGACAGTATGTTTCCAGAAACTTGCCCACCTCCTCTAGGTTATCCATTTTGGTTCCATATAGTTTTTCATAATATTCTCATATGCTATTCTGTATTTCTATCTTATTTGTTGTAATTTCTCCATTTTCCTTTCTTATTTTGCTTATTTGTGCTCTCTCTTTTTTCTTCTTTGTAAGTTTGGCCAGAGGCTTGTTGAATTTATTTACTCTTTCAAAAAATCTGTTAATATGGTGAATTACTTTTGTACATTTTTCTAATATTAAAACACTCTTGCATCTCTAACATAAAACCAATCACTGAATTCAATTATTAATATTTCATGTAGGATTTAACATGCATTTTCATAAATGAAATGGATGTGTCACATGTGTGTTTACATTATGTCTTTTACATAATGTCTTTGATCTTGGTATTATGCTGTCTTCAAAGATTAAGTTAAGAAGTATCCCTTTTTCTATTGCTTGGGAGAGTTTGATTAAAATTAGTATGATCTTCTTGAAATTTAATCAAACTTGTGTGTAAAACAATCTGGGACCAGGTATTGTCTTTGGAGGAATATTTTAAAATACTGCTTTAATATATTTCATGATTCTAAGACTATCCAAAATTTTGTGTTTCCTTGGGTCACTGTTGGTTAAGTTAAGGTCAAACTTCTTAACTGTGATGTTGATATCTTATATATTCTCCAGAATTATTTTTGTCTTTTTGACCTAACATTAATTGAGAGAAAAGTGTTGAAATTTTCCTCTATGTGGTAGATTTGTCAACTTTTCCCTGTAATCCTATCAAATGTTGTTTCACATTTTTGAGGCTGTAAATATATTTTAAATTTGTGTTAAACATTTACTATTTGTTGATGATCCTTTCCATATCCAATATTTTTGTGTAAAAGTCTATTTTAACTGAAATTAATGTAGTCACACCATTTCCTTTTCTTAATATTTGCCTTTTTTTGCCATCCTTTTACTGATAAAAAATCTTTTATTGGGCTAAATGCTAAACATTTTATCTTATTATTGCTGACTTGTAAGAATTACTTTTAACAATTTATATGTAACCTTCAAATTAGCACATTTGGATCACTTATCCTTTAATTCTAGATGGACATTAATTAAGAGAAATCTCAGTTATGCAGTTGGCCTATGACACATGCAGACATAACTAAACACATTCATTTGGGGAGTTAGTCCATAATGATTTCTTCAGC